CTATGTTCACTCACGGTCCCCTCTGCTGTAAGACTTCCACTGGAGCCTAGAAACCTCACTACAGAGCATCAGGAATGCATTCTGTGTCTCAGGCCAAATTTGCTCAACATTTGAGAAGTAGCTTGTGTCTTTTACAAGAGCCTTAACCCCTGTTTAGGATCAGTATCTGAGATTGCTACGGAACCATTTCTTGCAAGATGTATCTCCCTCGCCCTACTTGCTTACCCTGCAGTATGGCACTCCCTGTCCATCAGAGAAAGGTCCAAGGCTTGAACAGTTAGCTCATCTGGCACTGTCATTCCCTCATGAAGATGCCAGTTGAACATAAGTGCCAGGTCTGTTTTTGGGTGGTGGCTCAGTACACTTCTCAAAGCTTCTCCTACTGACATGTGATCTAAGCTATATTCACTCACAAAGTTTTTGACAACTACAAAACATAAAACATTAAACTTGTTTAATTTCACATATTCATCGGTAAACCTTACTTTCAGGTTCTGATTAATGACATCAACAACAAACTACTCTCCATATTCTTCAAACAAATTTCACAAATAAAATTGCCCCATTTTACTGAATTAACAATTGTCAAATATCGGTTCTTATTACTACTTCAGGTTTGTGGCTGGTGTATCTGGTAATGAGCCAACATTGTGCGTGTGTGTGTGTGTGTGTGTGTGACTCTGTGTGTGTTTGTTTTACAACCAAACTGATGTTAAAGTGCCTTTCCTGGTTCATGTGGTGCCAAAATTCTTCAGAGCACTGTGCCGATACCATGTGTACTCTCAAATATGTGTGCCACGTATTTGGCACTATGTGAAAAATAACAGTGAAACAGTCTGTTTCACTGTTTACCACTCCTGACTATCTTTTTACAGATTCCACACTGCACTTGGGTAGGTTAACCTACACAGTTAATCATTTAGGAAATAATTTTTTTCATACTTAATATGATAGCAGTGACTTATAGCTCATAGGCAACTTTTCTTAGGTGACCTTATTTGATATTTTCAACAATGAAATGAGAAATCAGATTGTTGTATCTATATTTACTCCTTTGTTCTAGATATCAATATTCTAAAGTTGTGGGGAAATATCATCTTCTCTTGACATGAAAATGACTCTTTTGTTAAGAAATTTAAATTGTCAGACTTTACGTCTGAAGAGCTGTAACATAAGACTACTCTTTATTATTTGTGGTGACAAATTCATCTTTGACTTTGTCTTTCCCCTTCAGTCTCTATGCAGTCCTGGAAGTCTATTATCTTTCTCTGAAATACATTCTGTATCTCTTCTTTTCATTTTCTTCTTATTGTGACCAACTACTGTTCGTGTTGTGCTCATGACGTCTTGAAATACAACAACCAATTTTTGGAACAACTGTCTTAACAACAACAACAAAAACTACAGTTCAAGTTACACAAAATGCAAACATTACAGGAGTAAAGTATACCAATTGCCTTTTCAACAATGATTAAGATTACTGATTTGCACTTTAAAATTCTTCTTCAGTTACTGAGGATTGAACCCAGGACCTTGCGCATGCTAGTCAAGTGCTCAACCGATAAGCAACACTCCATCTGTTCTTAAAGTTTATTTATTTATTTTTGGTAATGGGGATTGAATTCGGGACCCTGCTCTTTTGAGGCTGGTGGCAGCACCACTGAGCAGAATCCCGGGCCCTTTAAAATTTGTTTTTAAGACAAGGTCTCACTAAGTTGCCCAGGATGGCCCCAAACTTGCAATCCTCCTGCATCAGCCTCTTGAGCCACTGGGATTACAAGTGTCTGCCACCACCCTCGGCTGGTTTGTACTTTTTCAACTATGGTCATGCACCATTTAACAATGGGATATGTTCTTAGAAATCCATCACTCAGTACTGCTGTCTAGGATGTCCATGATACACCTAGATAATATGATCATCAAGAACCACCACTGTGTGCATGGTCTGGGATTGACAGAAGTGTCACTCAGTGTATGACTATTACTGTAGGAGTGTACATTTATAAAATATTTAATACATTTTAAACTGATATACTCGTTTAAGATATTGTTCAAAGTAAATTTTATAGTATCTTTTTAGGATATTTTACTATAATTATAAATGATAATAGTTTGTAATTTTTTCCCCTATTACATTAGTAACGTTTTAATATCAGAGTAGTAAATTTAAAATGGATCATATATCCTATATTTTTGATTATATGAAATAAAATAAATTGGGAAGATTACTATCTTTTCTCTTCATCATGTAAAAGCTTTTGAAAACACAGAAATGTGTTCCTTGACTTTTAATTCTCTGACTGAAGGTTTGATGTACTTTTACGCTAAGCTCATTTGATCCCGGGCTGTTCAGAAGGAGGTCATATTTCTGACTGCCTTCCTGATGTGGCCTGGGTCAAGAATGTCCTTGGGCCCCATGCTACAGGCTTGGCCCTAGCCCGTGGTGGTCCTGTACAAGCTGCATTATTAAGAGGCAGCCTAGGGGAGGTTCTACTTCAAGGCAGTTGGGGCAGAAGGAGGTTGTGAGAGTCTCTCTGTTTGACTCTGTCTGTCTCTCCTCTCTTTCACCACCCATGAGGGGAGCAGCTTTGCTCTGCCGTGCACTGCTCATCACGATGTGCTACCTCACCAACCACAGACTGACACCCCCAAACTGTGAGCCCAAATAGACCTTTCCTCTCATAAGTTCATATCTCAGGTGTTTGTTACGGCAATGAAAAGAAGATGGATACACTTCTCTTTGATGGTTATTGGTCTACTTAGGTTTTCTGTCTCTTTCTGAGTCAATTTTGATAGCTGGTTTCTGGAGGAGGTACCAGTGGGATTCAGAGAACCCTTGTATGCTGGAGAAAACCAGAAACGTGCTCACCTGTAGTTTTCCCAAATCTTGCAGGCCCCACAATTGTAATCCTCACAGGCACAGTAGATTTAGCATGAGGTTGGTGGATATATTTTATGAGATTCTTCATTAATTTTTCCTTAGTATTATTACTAGATAATAAATATACTGATGGTGAATTACAGGATAAATTTGACTCTGCATTTCCAACTGGCTGAAATGTTTCTCCTTCACTTAGGTCCAACACAATAGAATTTATAAGTTATTTTAATATATACATAGAGCAATTCCTCCAAGTGCATTGAAAATCTATAAAATAATAAAACAAATCTCAATTACAAAGAAATATAAGTATAAAGACATATTAATATTAGATAATTGAAAATTATTTCATAGCAATACACAATCAAAATAATGTTTTCTAAAGGGCTTTCAGTTTATGACAGTTAATGTCTTTTCTATATACTTGATATTTATGTTGAGGAGTGGTAGGTTGTGGCATTTTTTTCCACAGACCAATTTATCCTCACAAACAGACCCATTCCTAAGGTGTTAGGGATTGAACTGTCTCCTCTGCCCTGCAATTCAGATGTTGAAGCCCTAATCCCCAAAGTGACTATATTTGGAGATAGGGCCTTTAAGGAGGTAAATAAGGCTACACGAGGTCATATGGATAGAGGTCTAATCCAACAAAGCTCTGTCCCTTGAAGAAGAAGAGACCCCAGGGACAGGCCTAGAAAAATCTCCATGTGAGCACATTGTGAGAAGGTGGCCACTTCAAGCCAAAGACAGAAGTCTCATGGAAACCACTTCTGTCAACACTGGATCTTGGACTTCCAGTGCCAGAACTGAGAGAAAATAAATTTCTGTTGTTTAATCTTTCCTGCCTCAGGGACTTTGTTAAGGTAACCAGAGCAGACTGCTTCAAGTGGGTTCTTGGGATATCTTTTGGAGTATCCTGGCAGGCCAAAAGTTTTACCGGAGATTTCCCACTCTCATAAACATTAGCGGTGGTCAGGAAAGGGGAAAATGCCCACAGAGGGCAGTTAAGGTGTGGGGATAGAAAAAAGAGGAGAGAGTATGGAGAGGAAAGAGTGGACCCAGGTTTCACCTTGGCGGTGATGAGGGACCACCAATTTGGTTTCAATATGTTCAGTCTGAATATCCATGTTCAGTTTGAATATCTTTTTACAGTATCAGATGGCCAAGCATCAGCCATCCCTAGACTCGACAGAGTAGGCAGAGTAGTGCGGTTAATATTGGTTCTCCTGGACATCTGTCTCCTTGACAGTTGCCACTGGAGAGTTGTTTGTCAATATCATTGTTCTTAAGCTGGAGGGAAGTTCATGGCTAGGCATGCATGCTAGGAATAAGAAGCAACTCAAGGGTCGGGTGGGATGTCTGCTTCATCTTATAGTCTTGGTAATAAAAGAAAAGTTAAGTTCCACTTGAAATCTCCAAGTATTTTTTAGCTAGTTAAGAATACTACACAATTCTTAAAATTTTTGGAATTATTTAGTCTTCTTCCTAGAAGTACCTGTATTTTATTAAAGCAATATTCAAAGAGTAAGGTTTTCAGGTACATTTGATGAAATTACCTTTACAGAGTCCCAGTAGCCAAATGAGCTTGTATACTTGTAGATAAAGACAAGCATTTTCTGGGCAAGGTGTGCTGATACTGCATCACATGTCTCAATCAAACTTGCACAATTTTCCACCAGTTTCATATTCAATGTATATTGTACCATGTGGATTTTCTGAGCTTCATGAACAGAAATTATTGGTATCAAAAATTTCTAAAATTCTTCCTAATGAGAAAAATCATAGAACCTAATGTATCTGGTGGGAAAAAAAGTCATTCATGCACAGCACATAAACACTTCTGGTGACCATTTCAGTGTAACAAATAGGTCTTTTTCAGCCGGCAAGTGGCTGAGTGCTGGCAGCTAACCCTCCTCTGATCCTGTGAGGCCTCCCAGTTGCTCGTGACTTATGGAATTGTTTTCATAATTAAGTGGTACTGACAAAGGAAATACAGCCCTAAAATATGAGCTTCTTTTGAAATGTAATCTTGAAATTAGGCATTAGACAGTTTGCTTTGGTTTCATGCTCAAATGTTACATTTTGAATTATGAAAAATTAAGGAAAAGTAATAACCTGTATCATTTGTAAATAATTCTGATCTGTTTCAAATGTTTCTCCCAGTTCACTTCCCAGATGTACAACTGCATCAATTTCCTGCTCATCTTCCTCACTCATCTCTTCCTCATGTTTTCTAAACACAGTGTCATCATTTTCCTCATCAGGCTCTTCCTCATCATCTTCTGTAACACCAACCTAATAAAGAAAATATTCCCTTTCACTACACACTCAGCATATGTGCTAAATTATACTGGTAACACATCAGCAGGACTATTTTGTAACAACTTGGTATATTGGTTGGTATCCTGTAAAAACAGTCATCTGGTAAGAGTAAAAGTTTAGATATCTGACATTCAGACTCTGACACCGCAGCAACCCCATTTGTAAATAAATAGATGAGTATTAAATGCTATTAAATGTGTAGAGTTGTCAGAACGCTACTTATTTTTGATGGTCTTCAGAAACAATACACAATGCAGCTCAAAGAGCATAGAAAATGTATTAACTATATTAACTGGGATGAGATCGGTTACTTTATCTGTAAAATAGGAGTAATAAAAGTGAGGTCGCTTACAAGGCTTGGGGGAACATTAAATGACTTAACATAGATAATTTTTTTTACTTATTCACCCATTGATAGGCATTTAGGCTGTTTTAAATGACTTAATAAATGGGAAGCAAAATCCAGTTATGATAGCGCATGCCTGTAATTCCAGCACTTGGAAGACTGAGGCAGGAGGATTGCAATCTCAAGCAAAGCCCCTACAACTTCATGACTTAGTGACTTTGAGACTCTGTCTCTAAATAAAAATAAAAATGGTCCGAGAATATAGCTCAGTGGCAGACTGTTCCTGGATTCAGTCCACACTACCAGAAAACACACACACACACACACACACACACACACACTCACACACAGAAAGCTCCAAGAAAAGTCTGTGACATGATGCACTATTACAGTCGTTTGGTATAAAGCACTGTACTGATAATGTCACTGCCCTGACCTTTCAGGAGACTATAGCCTGACTGAGAAACAGGATTATTTCATGAATGATTCTTAAAGATCATGGCAAGAATTTGGTACTAAGTTGTGTACATAGACATAGAGTTTAAATGCTATTGCTCCTTTTGCACACACAAAAAGACATTTATTATGTATCTCCTCTGCCCTGCCTCCCCATTATTCTCCCTGCAGTAGTCCTTGTCTCAACTGGAGCTTGCCTGGCCCAGGTGCTGGGAGCACATCACCTCTTCTGTGCTGAGTGGGGCAGTGGTATGGTAGCCCAGAAGCCTCCTCCTGGGCACTGGGATTGACTCACCTCCTCTGCGCTTGTGGGGTGCAGTGGTATGGTGGCCCGGAATCCTCCTGAGTGCTGAGTGCAGCTCTCTTCCTATCTGGGGGTGGCGGTGGTACGGTGGATTGGATACCTCCTCCTGGGTGCTGGGAGTGGCTCACCTCCTATGCACTGTGGGGGGCAGTGGTACAGCAGCCTAGAAGACTCTTCCTGGGTTCTGGGAGTGGTTTACCTCCTCTGTGCTGGGAGGGGCTATGATACAGCAGCTCAGAAGCCTCCTATTGGGTAATGGGAGTGGCTACATCCTCTGTGCTGCGGGGCGGGGGGGGGGTTTGTATGGAGGCCCAGAATCCTCCTCCTGGGCACTGAGAGCAGCTCACCTCCTCTGCACTGTTGGGGGAGAGGGCGGTGGTATTGCGGCCCAGAAGCCTCCTCCTGGATGATGGGAGTGGCTCACCTCCTCTGCACTGGGGATTTCGGTGGTACAGTGGCCTGGAAGCCTCCTCCTGGGCACTGGGAGTGGCTCAACTCCCCTGTGCTGGGAGGGGTAGTGGTACGGCAGACCAGAAGCCTCCTCCTGCACTATGACAGTGGCTCACGTCCTCCGCGCTGGGTGTGGTGGTTGTATGGTGGCCTGGAAGCCTCCTCCTGAGTGCTGGGAGATGCTCACCTCCTCTATGCTGGGGTTGGTGGTGGTATGGTGGATCAGAAGCCTCATACTGGCTGCTGGTTGTGGCTCACTTCCTCTGCGCTGTGTGTGTGGGGGGTATGTCAGCCCAGAAGCCTCATCCTGGGTGCTTGGAGTGGCTCACCTCCTTTGGGCTGGGGTGGATGGTGGTATGGCTGCATGAAAGCCTCCTCCTGGGTGCTAGGAGAGGCTCACCTCCTCTGTGCTGGGGGTGGCGGTGGAACAGCAGCCCAGATGCCTCCTCCTGGGCCTGTCTTTCAAATGAATACCTGGCCCTTGTCACGCCAACACCCTGCTTGGCTGACCACACTGAGTCACACTGAACATTCTCCTTTGTGTGTCTGCTGTCTGTGAATCCAACAGAGTGAAAATACATCTTCACCCCATCAGCACAGCACACACACTAGATTGAGCAAGGCTCTGCTATAAACCCAGAAGGGTCTCTCTCTCTCTCTCTCTCTCTCTCTCTCATCCTCCCTTCCTTTCTTTCTTTAGAAACACATTTATTTTCTGGAACAGCTTTAGTTTCACAGCAACTTTGAGCAGAAGGTAGAGAGTGCTCCCAGGTCACTGGCTACACTGATATATGACAGATGAACACACACACACACAGCCAGAGTGTTCTGGGAATCACTGTCACCCCAGCACCTCAGTATTGTCCTGCCTCCGGGACCTAGCTGTATTTCTACTCTGCCCTAATCTTGCTTGTTCATCTCTGAGGATGGGAGCCAGTGTTTCCCCATTTGGGAAGGCTGACTGAAAATGGTTAGATCAAAGATGGGCACCAGCAGGACCACCAGACAACCAACACCTCCCTCAGAATCCCCTATCTGCTGGACAACACAAGGCTTGCCCCCTGGTACCATGACAGTTGATGGTTGCCATGAGATGGCCCGAAGGAACCTGAAGAAGAGAGGCTCCACCAAGATTACCAGAAAAATTACACCCCATCTTCAGAAAAGACATGACTATTTCTCCCCTCCTTAAGCCCAGCAATGCCACTGCTGCCACTGCCCCCCCAATCCCCCCCAAACACAAACTTTCTTTTCTCCTACTTCATTCACCTCCCAGGAAAGCCCTCCTTCCCTCCCTCTTCCTCACTTCACTCCTGGGCCAAAAAGCACATCTGTCTGTAAATGTGAATGCCCTCCCACTTCTCCTCAGTCACTGGTTCCACAACCCCATGAAGAGGCAGAAGGACCTAGCATGGGAGTCAGAAATCCATAGCATGAAATCTGACTAACTAAACAGACCGCTCTTCACACTCCCCATCCAGAGTTCACAAGAGAGCTCACTCCCCTGTCCCTCCCTGTTTTTCACCAAACAATGCTGCCTGAGCCCTCTGGGATTTCAGTTCTGGCCTTCCCAGAAGGATAGACAGTGCGAATTTCATGTCACCCACAAGTTCAAGCCCAGCCTGGGCAACTCAGTGACTCAATGAGACCCTGCTGTGGGGGGGGGGGGGCGGGAAGAGGAAGGGAAGGGAAAGGAAGGGAAGGGAAGCCTGGGGAATGTCGCTCCATGTGGTGGAAGCCTTGGATTCAATCCCCAACTGCCCCAGATACATATGGAAAGACAGACAGAGGGACAGACAAATAATCAATAAAATGAAAAAGGCAGTGCCAGAGAAGGCCTTCACTCCTTTGCTTCATTTTGCATTCATCACATCTCACCTCTGTGAGGCACCAGGGGATAACACTCTACATTTGGTCCAAACCACTCAGAACAAAAGTCCTTCCTAGGTGCTCATAGTCCCAGTTAGGATAACAGCAAGGGAAACACCTGAGGACCTCTGCAACTGGGGGCTAAGGCTGCCTCCATGTCCATCTCCCCCTCCACTGCCCTGCCCCTGACACCCCCAACAGAGGGGCTGCAGTTCCCTCCTGGGTGGGTGCAGTTGGTCAGGTCAGCCAGCTCCTCTCTGATAGCTCTATTGAAGCAGCTTGAAAAGCCTCTCTGGGGGGTTTTTCCACCCAGTCTTGTGAAGATCTCCCAGAGCATGGCCCAGGACGAAAAGATACAGGACACAGGAAGGGATGGGTGATTCTGTCACACACACACCCTGGCACCCTTTCCCTCAGTGATCCCCCATCTGCAGAACAACAGATGCCACCAGGCCCCAGGCTAGGTTGGGGCACCAGGGGGCTGTAGTGAGATAGGCCAAGGCTTCCCTGCCAGACCAGAGTGAGGGAGGGGACACAGAAACAACCATTCAAGGGGGGACACCCCACCCCCACCACTTCCACTCACACCCCATCAGGGGACATGTCCAAGTCAGGATGAGTGGGCATACACTTGGACAAACAGGGGCCTCAGCCAGGCATGGTACATGCCCGTCATCCCGCCAGTCACTTGGGATGCTCAGGCAAGAGGTTAACACGAATTGAAGGTGAGCCTAATGATAACCCTAATGTTAATCCCTACGCCCATAAACACTAACCATAACACTAATCCCTAACCCCTAAACCTAACCCCAACCCCAACCCCAACCCCAGCCCTAAGCCCTAAACCTAAATCCTACCCCAACCCCAACTGCAACCCCAACAACAATCCCTATCCCCTAACCCTAAATTCTAACACTAACCCTAAGTTCTAACCCCTAAACCCTAAACCCTAACACTAACCCAGCCCCAACCACTAAACCTAAACCGAACCCTAACCCCTAAACCCTAATCATAACCCTTAACCCCAACACAATCCTAACCCCTAACCCTAACCCCTAACCCCAACCTTAACCCTAAACCCTAAACCAAACCACAACCCTAACCCTAAACCCTAACCCTAACCCCTAAATCTAAACCCTAATCCTAATCCTAACCCTTAACCCCTAACCCTAACCCCTAACCCTTAACTCTAAACCCTAACCCCTAACACTAACCCCAACCCTAACCCTAAACCCAACCCTAATCCTAAACCTAACTGAACCCCTAACTCCTAACTCTACCCCCTAAATCCTAACCCTAACCCTACAGTAATCCACACCCAAACCCTGAAGCTAACCCAAACCCTCACTCGAGCACAGAGCTAAACACCAACCCATATGAAATATAAATGCAAACTGACACACGAACCACAACTTCAAAGTAGAACCCTTAACGCAAACAGAAACTGAACACCAAACTGTAAACCCAAACATAATGCAAAACACAGACCCAAACATTAACCATAATCCTAAACCAAACATATATCCAAATATATCCCAGGACATTAACCTTACATCTGAACCAAAACAAACCCAAATCCTAACACAAACCTGAACACAAACCCAGAATCGAACCCTAATGCAAGCCTGAACACAAATCTGCACACATACTGCAACATAAGCCCTGTATCTCACGCAACCAAAACACAAACACAAACCCATACACAAATCTGAACACAAACCCAGGATGGAACACAAACACCAAACTGAACATTATCCTGGACTTGAACTCTAACTTGACCACAAACATGAATCTGAGGTGTAACCCAAGCACAAATGCCAAACATAGTATGATTTAATTCACAAAAGTAAACATCAATTATCTTGATATATCAAATACATATATGTAAATATCAATTGTGTATCTATTATATATAAATTACATAAAATTGATATATTATGCATTACCAGTATTCCTCATTTATTGACCAGTTTCTGTTCCTGCAACTAAATCATTAAATGAATTGGCCAATAGATTAGGAATTGTATATGGTATGTACATTACAATATTCAGGACAAAGAAATGGTGAAAGGAAAATCCAACTTGATGACTTTGCTTTTATTTGCATAACTCTCACATACAGCACTGTAATATATATCAGAATATAAAACTACAGTACTGGACCATACAGCATAACAAATATTACAGTACTGTATAAAGAAAATGTACCGTACAAAAAAACAGATTGAGCCTCTATAAATAAGTTATACAGAACTTTACAAAGAAAAAGGCTGTAAGTCCCAGTGGCAGGTTGTAAATCCCATGTGCCTCAGTCATAACTCCAGTCATTAAACAACTTTAAGTCATTAAATGAGGAGTATCTGTATATACCAATTACATATATCATGTTTCTACTATATATCAATTACATAAAAATATAAATTGTATTTAATTGATATATTATACATGTGCCAATTGTTATGTACCAATTATTTAGATGTATCACTATATATCAATCATTTTGATAACCCTAAGAAAAGTAAAATTTGAACTCTATGACCTGTTTCAATATCAATAAAACAAGCCAAATACTGGATTATTCCTCTAAAAACAAATATTGCAAAATAAATTTGTATTCAAAATACAGAAATAATTCTCAATGTCAACAACTAACAATTCAACAAAAAATGGAAAATTTCTGAACCAGACAATACCACATCATACAAAACAAAATCATGACAAATAATTCAAGGTAAAAAAATCAATATTGTCCCTGTGGACAAAGCATGATCCCACTGAAAAAAGAAATCAGTAAACACTCCCATTAATGATAGCTTCAAAAAAAATTAATAACTGAGAATGAATGTAACAAAGAAAGTAAACATTCTCTTAAAGAAAACTATAGTAGTCAAAATAACAGAGAGACTGAAGAGACTAGAAAATAGACACACCTTGTTCCTGGACAGGCAGAGCCAATCAATGTTGTCAAAATGTCAATATTCCCCAATTTTTTTTTTTTGGTACTGGGGATCGAACTCGGGACCTTGTATTACCTGATATTTTTAATGCAATTGTCATCAAACTACTTTCAGTGTTCTTTACAAAACTATAAAGTACATGTCTACAATTCATAAGAAATCAGAGGGCTGGGGATTTAGCTCAGTGGGGCCGCACCTGCCTTGCAAGCCCAAGGTCCTGCGTTGGAGCTCCAGTACTGGAAAAGAAAATGAGAAAAGACCAAGAGTATCCAAAGAACCTCTGAGCATAAGAGCAAAACAGGAGGAATCATTATTCAAGATTTAAAGTTATGTCACAAACTTATAGTGATAAATATATCATGGTATTGGCACAAAAACATACACTTGGACCACAATAGAATTCAGATTGAAGAAACAAACCCAGACACCTTTAACCACTTGATTTTGGACAAAGGGACAAAGAACATACAATGGAGAAAGACAGCCTCTTCAAAGACTTTCTGGAAAAACTCATGATCCTAGTACAGAAAATAAAATCCAGACCCATCTCTCATACATTCTCTAGAAAAACCCAATAAAAATGGACAAGAGAACTATATATTAAACCAGAAACACTGAATCTGGTGGAAAATAAAACAGATAAAGCTCTTGAAGACATTGGCAGGAGCAAAGAATTTCTGAACAACTCAATTGCACAAGAAATAATATCAGCAATCAACAAATGGGATTATCTAATTAAGATTTTTACAGCAAAGGAAACAACAGAATAAAGAGAGACCCTCTGGGGTGGGAAAATCTTTGTCAGGTATTCCTTGGTCAGGGGACTAACATTTAAATTGTATTTTAAAAACTCAAAAGCATTAGACACTAATGCTAATAAAAGACCAAATTTTAAAAATGAGAACTCAAAGTGAATAGACACTTCTCAAAAGAAGCATTTATGGCCACAAAATGCAGAAAAGTCTGTTCAATATCTTTGTCCATTAGAAAAATTCAAATCAAAATACACTTAAGTTTGGGCTTGTTCCAGTAGGCATGTTTCAGGAACTCAAAAATAATACAGGCAGGGTTGAGTGAAAAAGGGAACCATTCTGCAAAGTTTACTGCAAGAAGAAATAGTACAACCACTCTGGAGATTCCTGCAAAATACTAAAACCAGAAATGCATTTGACTCAGGTATAACTCTTCTGGACATCTTCACAAAATATTTAAGGACATCTTACAGAGTTACATGCATTCCATGTTTATAGCAGCACAATTCATAATATCTAAATTCTGGAAACAACCTACATATCCATTAACAAATGAATACATAGAGAAAATCTGCATATATTCAAAATGGAGTACTACTCACCATAAAGAGAGACAAATATCACTGAGGAGGCTGAGGTGGGAAGATTACTGTGAGATCGAGGTTAGCCTGGTCTTCATAGACAATTCAAGGCAAACCTGAATTATAGTGAGATCCTGGCTTCAAAAAAAAGAGATAAATTTGATTCATTTGTGGAAAAATGGATGTATCCTGAGACTATAACGTTAAGTGAAATAAACCAGACACAAAGGGTTAAATATTGAATAGTTTCCTTTATAGGAAAAATTAAACACAAACATAAAAGAAAAGTGAAATGAAAAAGGGACATAGATTTTGTGGAGAAGAGAAGGGGACCTGGGATTGGAAAGAGGGGAAGACTGGGAGGGAAAGGGAAAGTAAAAATGATTAAGGTGCAATACGTACATGTGCCAATTCCCCAAGATAACTGCAACTATTATGAATCGTAAGTGTACACCAATGAAAGCAACAACAAAGAAGATTTTGGCTGAGACTACAATGTAGGATTAACTCTGCCTACCTCTCATTGAAAATGTGATCTGCATTTATTCTCCCATCTTTTCTACCCCCACCCTTATGCAACCCCTCAGCAATCCAAACACCTGACCTCCTTGGGCTCTACCATGGGGCCCAGACCCACAAGGCTGGAAGGTTTTGCATAACACAACGGCAACAACACACAAAACTTCAACAGCCCAGAGGATGAGTTGACCATGATTACACAGCAATCTGTGTCTCACAAAGGAAAAAACATCTTCTCAAACTGTACCCTTGGCCACTAGAAATTATGGTACTTAACCCTACCCAAGAAAACCCATTTACTCTGTGATCAGAGTGGCTTCCCGCTCCTTGGTCAGTGCTGTCTTCCCTCAAAAGAAGCCCCAAAGTTTCATGTTCCTGTGTGAGTGCCAGAAATACAGGGCTGGGTCTCTTCTATTCCTCTCCAATCATAGGATCCTGTCTAGTTACTTGTCTTCTATTATCCTCTATGTTACTCTCCTGCTTTCCCTGTCTTGGTTTCTGCTCCTCACCTCCTCCTCCCTCCCCACCTGTAGGTACACAGGGGTAAAATAAAGAAGCCACTTCCCAGTAGAAAAAGCATACTAGAAAACAAAGGCAGTGGGATGAGATTTGGAAGTCATGGACACAAGGGCTCAAGTCACTTCCCCAGGGGCAGAGGAGTCTCCTAAAATGAGGACAGGAAGGAACATGCAGGTGGTGGGAATCCACACAGCCAGTGAAAACTGAGAGCTGCCCTGACAAATCCCAGAACAAAAAGCTCCAGGATGGGAGGCGTGGGATGATTTTAACAAGAATCAACAAATCCAGCAAGGAAGTAGGAGCCATGAAAGGGTCATGTGTCCCACAGGTATAAGAGTTCAAGCAGAGGTGACTCTGGGCCATGGAGAACAGTGTGCACTCACCTAGTGGACCTTGGGCCAGAAAATAGATGTGCAGGTCAGGGGGAGATGTGGTGCAGAGACAAGGTCTAAGTGGTGTCAGTGGGCATGTTTCTCCCTATGTTTATGACCTCCTTCCAGCTGAATAAAAATGTGATGTGTTCACATGAAGTAGCTGGTCAAGCAAGGGGCTTCTTATGGCTTGAATCTAGATCTCCCCCTAAAGCCTCATGTGGTCACAGTGAGCTTTATGGAGCTGGCTGGCTCTGCTGTGTATGATGCTGGGGTCAAGGGTATGATACTGGGATTAAGAGTACATGATTACTAAGCTAGTCCACTTTGGTTTAGCATAGTTCTGGGTGTGGATAATGGGAATGCCCACCCTGCACCACCCGAAAGGCAGGTACCCTGGAAGGGATAAAAGGGAGAAGCTGCCATCACTGCTGCTGCTGCTTGCTGCCTTCTGCCTGCACCCTCTTCAGTGAAGCACCTCTGCCCTGCCTCCCCGCCTTGGAGCCAACTGACCATAGACTGAAATGTCTCCAAGCTGTGAGCTGAAATAAACCCTCCCTCCTTTAACTTCAGGCATTGGGTATTCTGTTTCAGCAGAGCAAAAAGTAACTAACACAGGCTGTTGATGATCTGTAGCACGGGGAATGGCAAGGAGTGCTGTCAGCAGGTCCAGCTGTTACAAATGTAGGAATGAGAGAATTCAACAGCTGGATGTGGCTTTGCCTCTGCTAACTGAATGACCATGGTCCTGTGGGCCATAATGTCAGTGAATGCCGACACTGAGAACTGATGACTCAAACAAATACCAGAGAGTCAGAATGTGAAAGAAATGCCCCACCCCTTCCACATAAAAACACAAACATGTTTAACATCTCAGCCATTAAGCAAATGAAAACTACAACCACAGTGAGGTTCTCCTTCACTCCTACTACAGCACCTATCATCAGTATAATTTAAGGTAACAAGTGTTGGTTAAGGATGCAGAGAAACTTGAACCCTCACACATGGTGCAGCCTCTGGGTGAAATACTTAGGCATTTTCTTAAAAAGTAGAATATAGATGTACTATACTACTCAACCTTTTCATTCCTTAGTAGATACACAAAATAACAGAAAATATGTATTCGAACAAAAATGAATATGTTCTTTATCTCTGACAAGGTCATGGCAATGGAAAACAGTCCCACAACAAGTTTCAGAAAAGAAAACTGGATCCAAATGGAAAAAAGAATTCTTCTCCTAAGTGAGACAAACGGTGAAATTGAAATTGGGCCATAGACTGGACATTCATACCAAAACCCTTTAATTTCCTTACATGGGTGCTCTGTGGTGGTTACCTGGGAGTGCCTCTACTTTGGGTAAAATACACTGCCATTTTTCTTACAGACTTGCAAATTAGGAAAGGCAATAACCACTGGAGAAGGTGAGTGGATAAATCATGGTGTACTCATAACATGATTGCAGATGGCCCATAAGTTTGAAATTATTGGGAAATAAAATATTTTTTCTATGATCATTATTATTCCAAAAAAGAAACATCAAACATCACTATAGCAGGGATGGGGATTTAGCTCAGTGGTTCTGCTGCCTGTCTCGCAAGCAGAAGGACCCAAGTTCGATCCCCGGTACCAAAAAAAAAAAAATCACTATAGCAGCTAAGTGTATTAGTGAGCTTTCTCACTGTGAAGAAACAACTCCTGACACCAACAACCTAAAGATGGGGAGGTTCAAATAGTCTCGTATTTGTGGAGGATTCAGTCCATGGTTGGCTGGACCCAAGGAAGCAACATTATGGAGGAAGTGTATGACAGAGTAAAGCTGCTTGCTTCACAGTAACAAAGAAGCAGAACATGGGAACAGTGCCAAAGATGTTGTGGTGAGGGATGACATAGAGACATCAAAGTTATACCTTCATGACCCACAGAGACACACAAAGAAATGTGCTCCACCAATCCCCTAGGCAGATCTCAAAGCCAATCAAGGTGCCACTCGATCCTTAACTGTCACAATAACCCTACCAAAATGCAGTCTGCCCAGAGCTGTAAAACCCTTGTCCTTCTGTATGGAAATTAGAATAAGGAGGACAATTAATGATAATAATATGAAATACCAATGTGTGCATATTTTGTTAAATTTAAATGCCACTCTCTTAGTTACTTTTCTCATTGCTGCCACAAAATACCCAACACCCAAAGTTAAAAGAGGAAAGATTTCAGCTCACAGTTCATAGAGGTTTCAGTCCATAGTAGGCTGGTTACAAGGCAGAGTAGCATGGCAGAGGGGCATCGCAGAGGAGAAATAGTGCAAAGCATGGCAAGAAGAAGGAAGCAAGCCCGCCTTTCCCTTTTATCCCTTCCAGACTCCCCACCTTTTGGGTGATGCTACCCACACCCATGGTGGGGCTTCTGTTTTTAGTAAATCCATTCAGCCACACCCAGCACCATGCTATTTCCAATCAGTGGAATAATGTAGTACCACACACCTTTAACCCCAGTATCACACACCCTAGATCTGGCCAACTCTGAAAAGCCTCACCTACAGTGCAAGGCTTTGGGGAAACATTGAAATAGATACAAGCTTAACAGCCGCTATCTGGAAATTATATATTCAAGGTCCATTGTGTGGGTATTACATTAGAAATGCCATTCTCTGAATATTATCATAACATTATGAAGTGGTCACAGTGTGGATATTACACTTAGAGACCACTCAATGGATAGTATCAGTAGCTGAGGGCAATGTCTGAATATTACTGTACATGAGTACTGGAGGGCATTGCATGGATAGTTAGTATCAGAGATCACAGGAGATATATTAGTACTATTGGTTGGTGTGTAGATATAAAATTAGTATTACAGGCCACACAGTGGACATTAAATGACCATTAAAGGCCACAATGTGGATATTATATTAAGACGCCACTGGGAGCCCATGTGGTGGAACACATCTGTAATCTAAACACTTGAGAGGCTTAGGGAAGAGGACTTGAGTTCCAGGGAACCTAGACTACATAGTGAGATGCTGCCTCAAAAAAAAATTCTTCTGTTTTATATTAGTCTGAAAAGTCCACAGTGTGGATATTATAAGTCACAGAATAAATCGTATATAATTAATAAAGGGCCGTGGTAAGGATACCATCATAGTATTAGGGGCCAGTATGTGGATAATTTATTCATATGAAGAAGCCACTGTGTGAATGTTTTATTAGTATTAGGACTCCACAGTGTGATATTATGTTGCTAAAACAGAGCTACAGTATGGATATTAAATTAGTATTAGGAGCCACACAGTAAATGTTGTATTAGCTTTGATGTTATTCTGTATATATTAGTATTAGATGCTGAAGTGTGGACAGCAATAACAGAAGCTGATCTGTGGATATTAAATTAGCATTAGAGGAAGCACTGTGGATATTAAATTACTATTAGAGGAAACTGTGTGGGTATTAACTTGTGCACAGTGGAGTTATACAGGCAAGACTGTCCCTGCCACTCAATGATGGGACAGTCATGCATGTACCACCAGTGGTTCAAGCCAACAAGAAAGGGTTAAACTATTAGTATAATCAGCTTTGTAGATACTAAATTAGCATTAGATTCTGCTTTGTGGCTTTTCAATCTGTATTAGAGGACACTCTGTGGAAATAAAGTTAATATTAGAGGCTGCCCCCCTGCATATTAAAATACTATTAGAAGCCACTGTCTGGATATTAAATATTAGAGGATGGGCTGTGGTCATTACATTCATATGACAGGCACTTGTGGATATAAATTTCTAGTAGAGGCTGTTCTGTGGATATCAAGTATTAGACATCACCTTTTGGATAGTAAACTAGTGTCACACACCACTTTGTGTATGTTAAATTAGTATTACATGCCACATATGGATGTAAAATTAGTATAAGAGGTTGTTCTGGCTATTAAATTAATATTGCAGGCCTCTCCAGGGATATGAAATTAGTAATAGACAACACAGAGTGCACATTAGTTAAGATTGCATGCTACTCTGTGGATATGAAATAAGTATTAGAGGCTGTTATGTACATATTAAGTATTTAAATCCACTCTGTGGATAGTAGTGTTAAAAGCCACTATGTAAATCTTGGTCCTAGAGGCTGTTCTGTGGATATAAAATTAGTAATAGATGTCACTCGATATTAAATAAGTATTAGAGGTCATTCTGTGTATATGAAACTAGTATTAAAGTACAAAGTGTGGATACTGAATTATTATTAGAGGCCATTCTGTGGCTATTAAATTAGTATTAGAGGTTGTTCTGTGGATGCATAATTAGTATTAGACACTACCATGTAGATATTAACAGTATTATATTCTGCTCTGTGGACATTAAATTATATTACAGGTTGTCCTGTGGATATAAAATTAGTATTAGGTATCATTGTGTACATATTAATATTAGGGGTCCACTGTTAGCAGCATCGGCCCCTCTGTTGCTTTGACACTAGTACCGGAGGACACTGTGAGGATAGAACTTCAGCATGGCAGGCCACAGTGGGCAAATCTCATCACTTGCTCCAGGCCACAGTGTGGACATTATCTTAGGGCTATCCAGTGGAAACAGTCATCACTGTGAATGACAACTTCTGCATGAAGCCCTTCCTCTGCTGAGTTCTCTGGAGACCCACCCCTCCACCCTGCACTCAGGCCACAGACAAGAATCTTTGCACTCATGGTTGTGCGAGAGACACAGGCACTACTGTTCCCATGCTTGAACCCTGCCTCCTTAGTCCCACCCCAGTGTGAAAATGAGTCAGCCTCAAGCCCATATGAGCCCAGCAGAGTGGGGACCATCAAGGCAGGCACAGTGCAGAAGCTGGTGAATCACCTTGTGCCTGCCCATGGAAGTGGCGATCCTCTTCTTCATGCCCACATTCCTATACATCTACCCCTACAAGCTCACTACTACCCAATAGGTGCAAAAACTGCTGTTCCTAAGGTGTGCTCCACCTCCAAGCCCAGGGGCACTTGCCACCTCATGGCAGACCCTTGGAATGCTCTGCACCTTTCTGTATCCCAATTTGCTCTGTGAAAGCTGGAGTGATCTGAGGATCACCATCCGAGCATGTATTTGGGACCAAGAGGGCTGAGAGTTAGAAGCACCTGCTCCAGGCCAGGGTCAGGGTCAGTGACCCAGGGCTATGGAACCTCCCCTCCTCCATGAAGAAGCTCTCTACCTGTGGCCTCATTTAACTGAGTCCTCAGGCAATTCAGTCCCCCCCCCCTTTGTTTTTCTTTGGTGCCAGGGATTGAACTCAGGACCTTGCACTTGCAAGGCAGGCATAGGTGCTACTGAGCCAAAATCCTGGCCCCAGTTTCCCCATTGTTGAATGACGTTCTGAATCCCAATTCTGGAGTTCCCTACCTAGATACAGTTAGAGTGGAGATTCCCCCTCAGAGTAGAGTGAGGGGCCCTGGTCCCACTGTGATATCTGAGTAAGAGAAGGCAAGGTTCATTCACATGTATATGAAGCACCTATTGCGTGCAGGCATGTTTCCAGTCACTTAGCATCTAATTTAGGGAGAAACACAGACAAACTTCTCAGCCTGCCCTTGCTTCCATTCTCATCAGGGAAGGACAGTTCTCCTAGGCTGTCTGCAGGTGGGGGCACTAGAAGAGGATGCTATGACTTCCTCTCTTGACCTCCTCTATGTATGGATTCCTTCACCCCAACTGCGAGGAGGATGAGAAAAATCAAGGAGTGGGCTTAGGGCCAAGAGAGAAGGTTCCTGTCTCCAGAGTGGGGAACATTTGACAAACTGAGTTTGAGGGGGGCTGAGAAATCCCAGGTCTCAAAATGTTGTTGATTGCTAGCAGAAGGATTTGGGCTAGGACTTTGCCTGCAGGAGGAGTAAGACAGGCAACCAGGCAGCATAGGGGCTGCTGGGGGCTGTGAAGAGCAGGTCCCTGTGAAGATAGACCACTTTCAAAACACACCACCCCAGTCAGACACGCCTTCATCATCCTGTATGAAGGCTGTACAGAAGCAGTGAGATGCACACTGCTCACATGAGCCTCATGCATTTGCTCTCAGTGCCCAGCTGCATGTGGGGTGGTCATTACCCTGAAGAATTCTGCCAATCCCCAGATGGCCAGACTAACCAGCTATGTCCTACATCCTGATCAGCATGCTGGGCTGACTTCTCCACAAATGTACAAATTCCTGACCCAGCTGGAGGAACTAGTGACTAGTGAGGCCAAGCCTGAGGATGAGGAGGCCTGGAGTGGGTGTCTGAGGGCACAGGTGGAGCAGTAATGGCTGAGCCCCACTGGGAAGGAGCTCTGAACACTGGACTCTCATCCACAGAGTGAGAACAACCTCCTCAACTGGCAGTAGATTTCCATCCAAGGTGCAACAGTGGTCAACTTCAGCAGAGGCAGAATCTCACCCCATTCCAATCCTGTCAGCATATCTTCCTGCTGCTGTGGATCGCCAGTCATTGATTATCCTTTCACTGAGATACAATCACCTCCCAGTGTGGTAGCAGACCCTGTTTCCAAAATCACCAGGAGCAACCTGATTCAGAAGTGGTACAGCCTGATGTCATTCCACCTCTGACAGCATATCTTCCAGCTGGTGCAATCTCCAGCCAGCTGAGTCTCCACCCACTAAGACAGAACCACTTTCCAGAGAGGCAGCATGTATTTCATCCAAGATAGAACAGGAGCAAGCTGATAAAAGAGAGGTTGAGCCTGACTCCATTCCACCTCCAGAAGTACGTCTTCCAACGAAGTTGATCTCCAGCTACCAGATTTTCTGTCCATCAGATTAAATCTATCTCCCTCTGTGGTAGCACACCCTCTTTGCGAGGAAAAGGAGGAGCCAGATGATATAACAGATGTTAAGTCACATCTCATTCCACCTCTGGCAGCACATCCTCTCACTGCCAGGTCTCATTTCTATTCTTTCTCAGTCAGAAGATCCAGTCTAGTTACGTATATTATCCTCTACTTTACTTTCCTGCTTTCTCTCTTGGTTTCTCCTCCTCAACTCCTTTCTCCCTCCAGGTACACAGGGATGGAATAAAGATACTCCTGTCAGAAGAGCTCACTTCCCAGTGGATCATCAGGGTCAAACATACCGGCAGTTATAGTCAGTAAGATAGGATTTAGAATGCACGAACACATGTCCCATGTAACTTCTCCAAGGGACTGACAGGCCTCCTAATGTGGAATGGGAAGGGACAAGCAGGTGGAGAGGGCTCAGAGGAGGACTATGTTCTACAGAACCCATAGCTGCCTTGAGCAGCAAGAGGGTGAGTGAGGAAGGGAGAGAATCCACATGGCCAGTGGAGATTGAAGGATGGCCTGAGGAGACCCAGGGCAAGAGAGCCCGGGTGAGGAGACCTCAGATGATTTTAACTGGAGTCAATGAATCCAGGAATCAAGCAGGGAGCTGTGCAGTGGCCACAGATCTCACAGACATGAGGGTGTAGGCAGACATGGCATTGTGCCACACAAACCAGTGTACACTCACCTGAGTCGCCTTGGCTCAGAGGCTCTGTGTCCAGGTCAAGGTGAAGATGAAACAGTTGGAGTAGAGTTCAAAGTGTCCATGGATTTCCAACACCCTTTGCTGCTCCACCCTCCTTCCATGCAGCAGAATCTCCTGAAGCTTGACTTGCAATGACAGAGCTCTGAGGAGACAGCTGAAAAAAATGGGATTTGTTGCCCCATAGCAGCCATTCAGGACAAAAAACTATTAATGTTTGCATGGTGTGGGTAATGATGTGGAGTGCTGTAAGCAGACCCAGCTGTCCCAGACAGAAATGAGAGAGCCCACCAGCCTAATGTGACATTTCATCTCTTATCTAAATGTCTGTGATCCTGTGGCCCATCATCTTGTTACTGGCTACTTAGGTTTACAAGCTCAGGTTCATTTGCTCAACACTGAACAAATCAAAGGAGGCCATATATTTTGGTAAAAATAAAAAAGATTCACTGAAAGCTAACTCCAAAAAGATGAGAGGGGGCATTTTCCTCAAATCACCATCTCACTGTTCTTAGCATGGGTTGGGGTCATTACTATCAAGGAACAGTAAGGGAGGGAATATAATGGAACAATAGACAAGTTCAGACTTCTATCCTTCCCAGGACCTCCCATGCCTAGGGGACTGAAATTGGGTTTGACATCCAATGTCAAGATCAGCATATTCCATCCATTCATCAGGGCTGATGTTTATTCTCTAGGCAGGAGAAATTTTGAGGGAAAAATCTAATTTAAGTTGCCTTTTGCAGTACCAGTCACAACCTCACTGAATGTTGGCAATGAGAAATGACAACTGAGATAGAATGCTAGAATGTGAAATTATTATAGACAGCTATGTTAGGCAGAAATATTACAGGAAGACAGATAGGGGTGGGCCCTCAGGAGAGAGTTAAGACAGAAGGTGAAACATACTACAAGTGCGGTCAGAGATGCATCAGTTAGAGGCCAGGCCTCAAGATAACAACAAAAGGACCAGGCCTACATACTTCCCCAAGGGATAAGTGATAACACCTGGTCTAATAAACTCTAGATAGGCATCAGTCACCTCAGTGGGCAACCAAGACCCCAGATCCATCACCTACCTTTATTCTTTCCACACACACTTGGTATGTGACTTGTTCCCCCTTTGGATCACTATTACCTAAGTGACTATACTTATAACCTATTTGGCTAAGTATAGCTTTAACCCATATTGTACTCATGTGGTTTTTGATCTATAAAACTTCCCTGTAAAGTGGGATCCTAGGCTACCCATTCAGGACCCCTCCTGCCTCTCAGGAGCCATCTTCTCAATAAACTTTTCCTACTCTTTAGCAATTTTTTTTTCCAGGACTGGGGTATCAAACTCAGACCGTGCCAGGCAGGTGCAGTGCCACTGAGCCACATCCCTAGCCCAACCTTTCCTACTCTTAACCTCTGTGGTTCCTAGAACTCATTCTTCAGTTTTAGAGAACAAGAATTCAGTGTTTCAGACATCTAACAGGTTGGGAATTATAATATTTCCTTTATATCCTATTTGGAGGTCCTGATTTCATCCCTGTATGAAAATTATTCCCTCTACCCCTGTTTCATGTGAACTGGGGATGAGATGCTTAACATCTCAGCCATTAAGGAAATATAAACTACAAACACAGTGAGATTTTCCTTCACTCCTACTATGGCACCTATCATCAGTACAATTTAAGGAAACAAGTGTTGATAAGGCTACACAAAAACTGGAACGTATACACATGGTACAGGATCTATGTGAAATACTTAGGCATTTCTGGAAGAAAAAATAAGTATAGATTTGTAATCAGCCCTGAAAAAAAATTGTTTTTCCTTTGAGGACAAGTGGCTTTGAGGCCTAGGGTATGAACAGCTTCCTCCAACACCACTCATCCTTAGAAAGTGACAAAATATTCTGATAGCCCAAGAAGATGGCCAGAGGTCTGGTTTCTTTTCCACACACACAAAAAAGATAAGCTAAAAAATGTGGCTGAAAATGATAAGGCAAGTATGAAGATCTGCATTCTCTGTGTCCCCCTTCCTTACTATAAAACACGCTTGCCCATCTGTAAACAGAGAGATGGTGATGTGAGGAAAATGAGTCACTCTAACACCTTGGAGCTAGCTTTAAATAAATCCTTTTTACCCAAGAATATGCCCTCCTTTGGTTTGGTCAGTGACAGGCAGACAAACTTGAGTCTATGAGCCTAAGGGGTTGGTAACCCTCTGGGTGACCATGAAGGGACTTTAGTCCTTGCTCCTGAGAGCTGTGCATCCTAGCAATCACTTGGGAAAGAGATCGCTTGCTAATGGCTAGCTCAACCTGCTGTTGGGACTTCAGGGACATTCCAGCACCTACCAGGGACACCTTTGAACCCTGAAAATTCTCCCTTTCCCATCTGCTGCATCAGCTGCCTATAAATGCTTTTGTTGGTTAAAAAAAAAAAAAAAACGGTTTCGGGAGCTCTGATCTAGTGAACTTGTAAATTCCAGATTCCCTCCTATTCAGAGCTGATGGGCTCTGCCTGGTTTCCCCTTGGAAGTGGGCTCCAAGGATCTACTCTCTGCAAGTTTGGATCTCTTTTAGGTCATTCAGCAGTGCCAACTGGGTGAGGCAAGGACTTTCACTATTTGAGGCCACTCAGACCTAGTGCAGGTCTTTTTGGTGTGCAAAGAGATAGGCGTGAGAAGAGATTCAGAGGTTAAAACAAACAAACAAACATTTCCAGATATTTGTTTTGCTTTCATTTGGTTTAGAATACTCCTTTGCTTTGGTCTGCTTTGATATGCTTGTATTTGCTTTTGTGCTTGCACCACTGAGGTAAATCCCCAGCACATTTTTCTCTTCTTATAACTACTTTTATTGTAGGATGAGTAGCAGGGTTTCATTCAGTACCATCTAAAATTATATAAGCCATTTGGGCTTCAAGTCATTTTGAGGTTTCTTTGTGAGCCAATATAGAGCTCAAGGCTCTTGAGCCACTTGTCCACAAAAATAACTTTAGATTAAACATTTTTAAAAGATAAAAAAATCTGCTTGTGTGTTTAAAAAGCTCTGTTATAAACTGCTCAAAAATGAAAATACTTTGGTACTTTGCAGCTCCCTAATAAAGTTTTAGTTACCTGTAACTTAAAAGGGGTGATTTTATTGTGATACACTATATAT